GGTGTGACTGGGCCCTTAGAGACAACAGCAGAGCAACACAGGGCGGGCCGTCAACCCGCCTGCTCGTGAATACGGATAGTCAACGCTGCTGTCTGCACTGCCCCGCTGCTGCCTGCATGACCCTATGTGCCTGCTTGACCCCATGATGCCTACATGGGGCTTGCTGCCTGCTTCCCCCTCTAGATCTGCTGCCTACATGGGGTTTGCTGCCTGCATGCCACCTTGTTGCCTGCATGTCCCTATGCTGCCTACATGGGGCTTGCTGCCTACATGACCCTGCCCCTGCCTGCACGATCTCCGCTCTTTCACTTTCTCTTTCTCTCCTCTCTCTCACACACACACACGCACACGCACACGCACGCACGCACGCACGCACGCACGCACACGCACGTGCACGGCGTAAGAGTAAATCTTATCTGTGAGGATACCTTCGTAGATAGATCGCTATTTTGCGAGGCCAGCCGAGCGTGTTAGCTGTGGAAAAGACAACAGCGAAAGTAGGAGATAAACTAGACGGGAATAGAGAGGGAGGGAAGCCGGGGAGGAGAAAACATGAAAGAGGGAAGGGTGGGTGGAAGGTAAAAGACGCCGGGGAGGAGGGAACATGGAATTCGAAGGAGGAAGGGTGGGTGGGTGGATGGACAGAAACTGCACGCACGCACGCATATATATATATAATGGCAGCAGCAGCAGCAGCAGCATCAGGCGTCCCTCATGTATATATCCATTAGGCGGTCTCGATTGACCGCTCTACGCTCCGTAATGACGTATAATTGAGCGTGAGTGGTCAGCGATAACGTATAGTGGCCGCTGCTGCTACTATCCCGCCTCCAGTGACCACAGGTCGCCCCCTCCCTTCCTCCTCCCTCCCCCGCAGCTGCGGCCGCCCCGCTCCCTCCCGCAGCTCCGCCCGCGCCACGGCCCGCCGGAGGGAGGGAGGTGATGGAGGCATGGAGAAGGAGGAGCGATGATAGGGAGGGATGAGGAAATGTTGAATGAGGATGGTGGGAGGGAGGGAAAGGAGGGATCGGAGGGAGTTGAGCAGGTTGAGGTGGTGAGCGAGGGAGGAAAGGGAGGAGGAAAGGGAGGGAGAGAGCGGAGGGATCGGAGGCGTAAGATGGGGAGGGAGGAGGGAGGGACCGGAGGGAGTTGGGCAGGGCAGGTGGGGAGGAAAGGAGGAAGGGAGGGAGAGACGGAGGATGTTGTGAGCGAGGTGGGAGGGAGGGAGGGAGGGGAGGGTACGGAGGAGTTGAACAGGGATAAGGTGGGGGGGAGGAATGGGAGCGAGGGAGGGAGAGACGGAGGGATTGTTGTGAGGCGAGGGTGGGGAGGGAGGTAGGGAGGACGGAGGGAGGTTTGAAAGGGAAGGTGGGGAGGGGAAGGAGGGAAGGTGGTTGCGAGGAGTGAAATGAGAGGGAGGGTGGTAAGGAGGTAAGGACAGGTAGATTTGGTGTGTGCGTGTCGTTCGTGCGTGTGTGTGCATTGTTGGCGTCTGTGAAGTCTGTGCGCGCCGCGTGATCATGAAAGTGTCGAATGATCTTCATATGCCGCTACTATATTTCCTCTCCCCTATCCTCCTCCCCTTCTCCTCCTCCGTCCTCCTCTTCACTGCCTGTCCTTGCCACGTCGCATTCCGTCGTAATTATAGTCATAATTCAAGCACATTGGTTTCAGCAGCGCATCGTATTCTTACACTCGTCATAAAAAATTTAAATTAACCATACAAAAGTTTAAATTTTGCAATCCCAAGGCAGGACGGGAAATATCAACCGCACGCAAAAACTCCCCCCCCCTCTAAGTTCTCTCTCTCCTCTCTCTGCTCTCTCTTCTCCTCTCAGCGACACGCACGCACGCAGCGTCACGCACGAACGCCACGCACGCACGCATCAGACACACGTCGCACCCACTTTTCATCATCTTTGTACGCCGCACCACGCCGACTGCACGCGCACACACACAACACACACACACACACACTTCACTCGCACGCCACATTTTCACACGGAATCTCGGATGCCGACCCGGATTAAGATTGGCGTGTGGCGACAAATTCTTCGTGTGCGCGACACCGTACATTAGGCTAGACACTCTTCAGCGCCGTCATCTCCTCTCCCGCGTCTTCTTTCTTTCTGTTCTTTCTTTGTCTCTCCCTCTCTCTCTTCTCTCTCTCTCTCTCATCTATAATATAGATAATATCCTATATAATATATATAGATATATATTATATATCCCTCTCTCCTTCCGATGCTTCTTTCTCTCTTTCTTTATTTCTGTCTGTCTCTCTCGCTCTCTCTCTCTCTCTCTCCCGCTCACTTCTCCCTCCTTTTCCCGCTGTCTTTCTTTCGCGCTCTCTCTCTTCTCTCTCTCTACGACTGTTACTAGGCGCCCCACAACATCATCACAGTACGCAAGGCACTGCACGTACTCGACATCGAACAGCACGCACACGCACCACGCACGCACCACCATAACGATCCGCACGCGCGTCCAAGCACGCGTTGCAGCAAGAATGCCGCTCTTGATTTCCTGCAAGTCCCCGTATCTATTTAAAATATTTACTCTCGCCGATCCACGGCGACGAGCAGCAGCCACGAGCAGGCGCGGGGCAGCAGCAGTTTGGCAGCGATGGAGTATAACGCCATAGTGGATCCCCAACACCATAGACACTTGGATCGTTTCAATAAAATATAATGCTAAATAAATACGAAATCTATTTACTACCAAATTCTTTAATGTTTCTCTACTCCCTCTTCGCCTATTATGCCGAACAATTGTCCTGTAAATCCGATCAAATGCCCTATGCACCACACAATGTTACTACGCGCCCCACGTGCTGCCCGTCACACGGACACCATAATATATAGACTGTGCCTGTGGTGTATAACTGATATGCTACAGTGAGCGAGAAAGAGAGAGCGGGAGGGGGAGAGGGGAGGGAAAGAGAGAGAGAGAGGGGAGAGACGGGAGAAGATGAGGGAGATAGAGGGGGAGGGAGAAATAGAGAGAGAGGGAGAGATAGAGAGAGGGGCGCGAGAGAGAGAGAGGGAGAAAGAGGGGGAGAGGAGAGAGGTGAAATGAAACAGGGGAAAAGGGAGAGAGGGAGAGATACGAGAGAGCAGAGAGAGAGAAAAAAAAAAGGCAGAGAGAGATAGATAGAGAGAGAAAGAGCCGAGAGAGGGCAGGAGAGAGAGAGAGAAAAAGAGAGAAGAGAAGAAGAGAGAGAGAGAGAGAGAAGATAGAGAGAAAGAGAGAGAGAGTAGATGTAGAGAGAATGAGAGAGAGGAGAGAGCAGCAGGCAGCCAGCAGCAGCAGCAGCTAGCAGGAGGGAGGGGGGAACATGTGGATAGCGATTAACGGGCATTTACAGCCGTCCAAGCAAAATACACACACATTTTGATGTTTCACTACTCCTAACGTGTATACACTTACACACACACATACATACATACACACGTACACGTATCACTACGTTAAACACCGTCACATTCGACAGTATACATGCAGTCACGGCCAAACACACGTATAATATATATATATATAATATATATATACACCAACAACGCATAAATATATATATATATAAGCACACGCACACAGAATGGCAATGCACACACTTTGCGCACACACGGGCGTATCATACCGACGTCACGCGGCGCCACATGCACCGAGTTCACGCGCAGCTGCGCACTCGCACGCACTGCACGCAATCACGCTACGCACCACAGCGACGGTCTGACACGCAACGCACGCACCACGCGACCCACGCACGCACGAGCACCACCACTACACACACACACGCACGCATATGCAACACAGACAAACATGGGTTACCAGTAGTGTGTATGGGGGAGGCTACGATGTGCACGACTACTGTGACCAATTCCCGCGGGAACAGACAACGGGGATCGCACTGCTATGACAGCTGTCTGCCTAACACTGCTACGCTTGGCTGCTACTACTGCTGCTGCTACTGCTGTGCTACTGCTGCCTGCACTGCTTTTTTGCCTGGCCTTGCTACTGCTACTGCTACTATACTGCGCTGCTGCTGCTGCTATACTACTAGCTACTATAGCTGCATGTGGTGGCTACTAGTGCTGCTGCTACTGCTGCTGCTGGCTACTACTGCTGCTAGCTACACTGGCGCTGCTGTACTGCTTGTAGTACTACTGCGTGCGCTACTGCTGCTCTGCTGGCGCTGCTGCTGCGGCTGCACTACGCTGCTGCTGCTGCACTTGCTGCTGCTGCGCATCACTGCTACTATATGCTTGCTACTGCTAACTGGCTGTAGTACACTACTCTCTCTTCTCCCCCTCTCTCTTGGTCGCTCTCGCCCATCTCTCTTCCCATGCCTCTCTTTCTCCATCTCTCTCCCCCTATCTCTCTCCCTCTCTCTCTTCCCCCTCTCTCTCGCTCGCTCTCTCCGTTTGCTCGACCCATCCGAAAACAGATACACAATAAACAAGCGCGAGAGCAGATGTTTTTCGCGTGGAAAAACACACGAGCACTCGCCTCACGTCGCCCTGGTGATGCATCATCATCATCATCATCATCAACGTCATCATCATCATCGTCATCATCATCATCAGTATCAGCAGCAGCAGCAGCAGCAGCTCCTCCCCTCATCATCATCATAATCAGCAGCAGCAGCATCATCAGTATCAGCAGCAGCAGCAGCTCCTCCCCTCATCATCGTCATCATCATCAGTGGCATCATCATCATCATAATCAGCAGCAGCAGCATCATCAGCAGCAGCATCATCGTCATCATCCTTACCATCAGCTTCCTCAGCATCAGCAGCATCTTCCATTCTGCCCCAACTCGCGCCGCGCGACCCCGCCAGTGTCTCCGCCTCGCTGCTCAGCATCCCCGGTGGAGCAGATAGGAAGGAGGGCTTCATCGTGATTCACCGCTCTCCAGCATCCACGCTTCTCTTCCCCACCTCTCCCGCGCTTTCTCTCTCTCTCTCTCTCTCTCTCTCTCTCTCTCTCTCTCTCTCTCTCTCTCTCTCTCTCTCTCTCTNATGTTCACCCGAATTTTTGTCCTACTCCCTAGTATCAACCCCCTTCCCGAAATATCTCCCTGGCTCGTCGCGCGTGCGTCGCGCGCACGCGCTCTTGCTCTCTGTCTGTCTCTCTCTATCTCTCTCTCTCTCTCTCTCTCTCGCGCGCGCTCTCTCTCTTTCTCTCTATCTCTACCGCTCCCCCTCTCTCTCTGTCGCTTTCTTTCTCTCTCTACCTCTCTCCTCCTCCTCTGCCCCCTCCTCCCCCTCCTTCTCCTCCTCCTATCTCCCATATTTCATACTATTCCATATTATATAGGTGTAGTCCTATTTCCCCGTGACGTAACTCAATAGCAGCAGTAGTAGCGGCGACGGCGGCGGCTTCTCTTTCTCTCTAGTCCGCGGAGAGCATTGAAATTCCAACATTAAACGCACAAATTAAAATCGCGGGCAATTACTCACAAATCGCAACTTAATTGGCGGGCGTCAGAGACCGATGGCGCTAGTCGCGTGCGTGCGTGCGTGCGTGCGTGAGCGTGTGTGTGTGTGCGTGCGCGTATGTGCGCGTGCGTGTGTGACCGAAGCCCCACGCCCGCATCCATCCGTACAGGGATGCTGAGGATACGCCCGCATCCATCCGTACAGGGATGCTGAGGATACGCCCGCATCCATCCGTACAGGGATGCTGAGGATACGCCCGCATCCATCCGTACAGGGATGCTGAGGATACGCCCGCATCCATCCGTGAGCAGGGATGCTGAGGAGGATGACAGAAACCCCACGCCTGCCACAGTAAGCCATCGCTTCACATATTCCCCCAATCGCCCCATCGTTGTCATCTGCATATGACAGTAAAATAATAACCACAAACTAAACCACGGATTATCAATAGAGCCCACGGGCCCACAAATGGACCCACGCATGGAGGCGTGTGCGGGGCGACGGGGGTCCGTCAGGGGTGAGGGAGAGCCGCGACGAGGCCAGCGAGAGATAGCGGGAAACCACACCATAAGCTTGTCACCCTGAGAATGTGAGAGAGGAAGACGCAGAACGCTTCGCTGGGAAGAGAAGCTCGAATGCCTTGCGGTGGAGCGACTCCCCTTCTCCCCCTCTCCTCACTCAACCTCTTCC